CAGCTTGGTGATCCACTCTAAAGGGAAAACATGAATGATTTAGCAATACATTGAGTAAGTAAAGGTTATCACATTGATTCATCTATAAGGAAAGTGGGACAACTAAAGGTCTTATGGATGTGCACTTGTGTTTGAGGATGGAAAAGATAAGGTCGATACTTGGGCACTTGTCTTTCTGAAAAACTATTGGTCAAGTTAGCTAAATACTTGTTCTGTGTTAAGCTGGGTACTGAGTACCTGGGAGTTCTCCACAAGAAAGACTGATCCCTGCCTCCCCTACCCCTCCTCTTCCCCTAAGCTGGACCACTGAGAAGGCAGAGCTAGGCATCATCCCTCCCAACACTCCTCCTTCCCAGAGGCCTACAGACTCCTGTTGGTTCATCTAAGTATCACTAAAAGCTGCAGGTGAGAGACTCCTGGCAGGCCTGAGGAAGTGGAAAGCCAGGGGTCTGAGGGAAACATTGCTGGAGAGGAGAAGGAAGGAAACCAGGGAGACAACACTGTCCTTCACTCCTTCCTCCCAGTATCCCTCTTTCCTCCTCCTCATGAGAAGGACATCCCCTCTTCCCTTAGCAGGTATGGCCTGGCTTCCTTGAGGATCCTATCTGCTAAGGCCCCACCCTCATCCCCAACACACACACACACACACACACACACACACACACACAGCTTCTCCTGACAACCCTGTACTAGACAAGCTTGCCCCATAGGGATGGACACTTTGTGATGAGATTGAAGATCTCCAGAGAAATGGCCTTGTAACAATAACCAGGCTGGCTCCCAGGGATTGTCTAAACCTTCTGCCCCAAAAGAAAGCAGTCACTCACTCTTCCTGTGTTTGGTTTTGTGTGCAAAGTTAAGAGCTTCCAAAGATTCAGCTATCAGAGTGGGGATGGGAGGAGGTAGCAAAGGTAGGACTCCGTACGTCAGTGGCTACAGAGTGGGACGGAGTGTTTTGCCTATGACCAACCCAGGTCATAGCCAAGGGCGTCTGTAGGACTTGCTCATATCTGACAGCAGCTGAGTCAACTTCTTCCCCAAGGAGAAGAGAGGTCAGGAAGCAAAGAGGCCAGGGAGGAGTGGACTAGAGAAAGAAGAACAGGAGGCAGAAAGAAACGAGGGGCTGTCCCTAACTAGCCAGAAGCCTATGAGAAGGAGGGGTGGTGTATGGCCGGAGCCTAGACTATTCCACCTGGCAACCTGAGTCAGATCAGAGCCAGGCTCGTGCTGACTTGAGATCTTTAGACTCATGACGTATTGCTGTTACCCACAGACAGGACCTTGCCCAGCCCATATCAGAGAAGCTTCTTTTTGCAGAGAAATAAAACAAAGGCCAGGCGGTGGCGCACGCCTTTAATCCCAGCACTTGGGAGGCAGAGGCAGGTGGACCTCTGAGTTCAAGACCAGCCTGGTCTATAGAGCAAGTTCTAGGACAGCAAGAGTTATGCAGAGAAACCATCTTGTATACACACATACAGAATTAACTCAGAGACACTGGAGTGTTAGAGAGAGAGAAGTATTGGAGACTCAGTTTTAAAAGAGATGTCATCATGCCACCTGCCCCCTTCTAGGGGTCAGGAATCTATGTGGGAAAGGAGACAGGAAGATTTTAAGACTCAGAAGTGATGAGTGACTCCAAGACAATAGTGTTCCCTAGTAACAACAGGACTGATGCATGTGTGAACTCAGAGACTGTAGCAGCATGTGCAAGACTTACACAGGGCCAGCACGGAGACAAGGAGTGCCAACCGTATGCAATACATTGTCTGCAGTTGACTCCCACTGGCAAACAGTTTCTGTTGGAGTGTCACTGAGTGTATCAGCCACACTCCAGGTCTGGTCCCATGCCCAGAAGCAGCTGGCCAACATAAAAGAATTTAAATGCTACTTTTGTGGATTTTTGGTTTCATTTTTTATCCTTTGGGCTTTTTTTTTTTTTTTTGAGATGGTAAATTTGAGTGCGTAGAGAAAAGCATGATCAAAATATATTGTATGAAAAAGAATTTAGTTAAAGGAGCTCTAAGACCTGTCTTGGGCAAAACAAAGGTTTTAAGGGGTGCTTAGGGAGCAGGTCCTCTGGCGTGTTATCTAGTTAAAATGGTGGCTGCCCCTGGAAGGGTCGGAAGGCAGAGGAAGAGAGCACAGGGCTGAGATAGCAGCTTTGGGTGCAGGAGACCCTGGTCACCTAAGGAACTCACTTTCCTCCTCCCCTGCTTGGTCTCTTCTGACTACAAGGGTACAGTGTGTACTCTTAGCTATACAGTGTGCTCTTCTGAACTCATGTACCAAGCAAGAACAGCAGACTTGGTCACCCAGGTAGGCAGGTGGACTCAGTCCTGAACAGAAGCATCACTTTGATTGTTTTTATAGTACTTGCAACCTTTGTGACTATCATCTCGACCTTGTAAAGGCAACTCTGGGTACTTCAGCATGGAGGAATATCTGCCTCGGCCACATGCCCAAGTTCCCAGTAACAACATTTCTGCAAGGGGACAGTCAGGCGTCCCAGATCCCTCCAACTTAAGTCTTGTGTGACAGATGTGAAAGAGGCAGAAAAGTTCACCTTTCACACACTCCATTGCATTGATCCTTCAAACAAGCGCACAAACAGCGTGTGGTCCTGAGCTGACAGGGGACCGGCCCAGGAAGGTGACTTTTAGCAGGGATATGTCACAGCCAGTGATGAAACCCTGGCAGCCTGGATCCCAACCCAGCGTTCATCCCTGCTTTCCCACCACAGCCAGAGCCAAGCCTTGCCCTCTCTGGGTGCCAGAGCCAGGGTCGGGGACTAGCCGCAGTGGCCCAGCTGTTAGGGCTCACTGTTCCTTCTGTAACTCGGGAGCATTTGCTTAGAGCAGCACTTTTCTATGTGATTTCTTTTTTCTCAAGGAATCCCAGCTGTAAGCAGAAACAGGGTCACAGATACAATGTAGGCAGGTCCAGAAGCACTTCCTGCCCCACCTCCTTTCCAGTCTGAATCCCATGGGATGCCTGGAGCTGAAGTTCAGATGCCAGCAGGCAAATGAGCATGGTCCTTTCTGAGCTCTGCTTATACAGAAAGAGGCCTTCTTTGCAAGGCTCACCTCAATAGCCCAGAGTAGCAGCAGAAGGAGGCACAGGGTGGATGGTTACACCAACCACATAGTCTATATTTCTCTACAGAGCTAGGCCTGGGGTTTGCAGAGGTAGTGGGAAAAAATTATTTTCTAGAAGCCTGGCTTCTAGATAAGAAATCTTAGAACCCTGGAATGTTAAAATGGGCCTCAAAGAAACCACCTTGGTTGAGGCTGGCCCACTCCTATGACTCTCTCGGGGCTGTTGGCTAGTGCGTGGGCATGGGTCCTGTTGGGCTGTGTTGTAGATTCCAGATGTCTGTCATGGCTCAAGGAGGCAGAAGCGCAGGAATTTGAGTTCACTCCACCAGGTGCTGGGTGGATGCTGGGCTGTCAAGTCGCCGGGGCTCTGCCCGGGCATGGAGAGGTCTCAGCCTGAAGTCCCACTGGGGCAGGTCTCTTGAGTGAGGGTCTCCGCCTGGGAGACCCGTGGTCTTTGTCCTTGAGCTCCCAGACGCCTCTGGGAGCTGTGGAAGAACTGAGATGCAAGGGCATATGGGCTGAATCAGCACGTAGCCGAGAGGGATGAGAGGGAGCTCTGGCAGTGCCCTGCGGGGAGAGAGACTCTTGGTTACCAGCACTCGCTTGACTGGGTCAATGGCTGGGATAGCTTGCTTGAGTTGGCAGGCCTCTGTGGCTGCAATGTAGAGAAGTCCTCCATGGGAGATTAGACGACTAGATAGTTGAAGACCTTCTCTATGGTTCCCCACAGTGGGGCCCCAAAGACACAAGGAAGTCCATGGTTTTAAAGGTTACTGTCATGGCAGAAAGTGGATGAGCTGCATCACACTCCCCCCACACACACAATTTCTCAGCACAGACCTGAGTTAAATAGAGAGGGAGGAGGGTCTGGGAAGGAATGCTTAATTGGCTACGTCCTCTGGCCCTTTAGGTATCTCAGGAATATGGAGATCTCTCCAGGCCCTGAGGCCTGTAGTCACACCCTCTGCCTGTGGAGGGGCTGGTAGGGGCGCTGCCCCGACATGACTGAAAGGCTTGGATCAATGGAGGTCTTTGGCCACGTGTCAGGAGTCTGGGGTCTGGGAGTGTGGGGAAGTGTGTGCCGTCCCTTGCAGGGTCTCCACCATCTCTAGCCAGTGCTCCACCAGAAACCAAGCGAGCCTTTCACGGTCCCACACTCCTATACAGAAACTACATCTGGATCTAGAGCATTTCTCTCACTTGCTACACCAGGAGATTAACCTTGCATAGGCACCATACTCCTGCAGGCAGGGCTCAGTCCTCCTCGTCATGGATTTCAAATCCTTCTTCCGGGCATCTCAGACTCTTTGAGGTTGGCTCTAACACAGCTGTCTTGTCTCACTATTGTAGGGAACACTGGTCACTTTCCCTTTGCTTCCAACTTCCTGACTCCTTTGATTGTTCTCTTCACGGTCTGTTCAAATGCTAGCTTCCACCCAACACTGAGAGCTGCTGCTGTTGGTTATACATCAACAGATGTTGGCTACACCAACCATCCGTCCTCTCCCCCTTTCAAATCCAGCAGCTCAAACTCTTGTAGGTTTTTCTGATTCAATGATGCTGCATGTATGTGAACCTGAATCCCCTGAGCTAGTTAACTTTTGAAGGATGGAGGTCAGGGGAAACCTACTCCTTTTTCACAGAGGAATCTAAACAATATGATTTCTAACCTTAATATGGCCCTGATGCTGTGGAGGATCCTATCTTTTGCTGAGGAGTTGTAAGTACTGTTGAAGGTTGACCAACTGGGAGATAGCCCTAGACTGAGGTTAATTGAGGCAGGCTATAACCTACTCCAAGATTCCCTTTACTGGAGATTTCCCTAGGGTATGTGCATCTCTCTAACTCAAGAAGGACCCTGTTGTGTGTATGAGGGTAACCATGTGGCCTTTATCGGTGTTGCAGGGATTTGAAACTGGACAACATCCTTCTAGATGCAGAAGGTCACTGCAAGCTGGCTGACTTTGGGATGTGCAAGGAAGGGATTCTGAATGGCGTGACAACTACTACCTTCTGTGGGACTCCTGACTATATAGCTCCAGAGGTAAGGCCTTTGTGCAGAGTTAGCTTCTCTCTCTTACTGTCAGAGCAGAGGCAACAACCCAATATTATACATTTGCGGGTCATCCAACGATGCTAAGAGAAGGCTCTGCAAAAGTAGGATGTACTCTAGGAGTAAGAAACAGAAAGGGAAATGGTTTTCTGTCAGGATGTGATCATGAGAAAGGACTGGTGAGCTGAGACTGACTGGCTAGCCTCCATGGTTGAGTGAGTCCTTGCTAAGTATCATGCATCCATCCTAGTCCAGGACTACCACCAGAGCTCGGACTAAGAGAAACTGGTTGACTTGCAGGAGAGTTTTCACTTCTTTCTAATTAGAACATTGAAAGTCCACTGAAGAGGCAGCAAATGCCTCTGGATGTCAAATTCACAGCAAAACCAGGAATGCTTTGCCATTTCCACTGAGGTAGAAAGTCTACAGCACAGGCCCGCACATAGAACAAGAGGACAGTGTAAGCAAAGGTCAGAGGTGCCCACTGTGAACTTTACCAGGGGATTGCCTGTGTCAAAGTTGAGTCACCATGATATGACCATTTTTCTTGTGTCCTTCCAGAATGGTCTGACCCAAACTGAGAGATCCTTAGCATGGATGAATCAGACTTAGTCATATAGTCACACAGACACTTAATTAAATGCCTTCAATGGTTTTGAGACACATAAGATGGGAGGGAGGTACCAATCCCATTAAGCATTGCCCATGTGCAGAAGCCTCCTTCCACGGGACATTATTTGCGCACCTGCCAGACAAAGTTCCATGGGGATGGAGTTGACTGAGGCTCTGGCTGCTCTTCTAAGAGAGCTTTTTGTCTAGACAGAGTGACACAGACATAAGTAGAGCAGTGCTGTCTAAAACAGGACAGTGTCCCAGGATACGGGAAGGCTTCATGGAGCTTCCAAGACTGGGATGCTGAACGGCAAAGAATGTACTTTAGGTTTGCTTTAACCCTAGGGATGAGGAGAGCATTGTTGAAAACAAGAAGTATCAGAATGGGAGCCATGCAGAGAAGGAAAGCCCAGTTCTCTAGGCTGCGAATCCTCTCAAGGCAGGATCTGAGTTTCTAATCTGGGTACTACCAGGCTCCAACGTCAGGTCCTAAAGAATGGTCTTTTGACTGAGTGGGCGAGTGGGTGACTGAGTAAGTGAGTGAGTGAGTGAAAACTTAAATAACACAACTAGAGAGCTGGCAGGATGGCTCAGCAAGTAAAAGCCTGTGTAGCATGGGCCTGCCAGCTGGAGTTCAAGCCCTGGAACATACTCAAGGTGGGATGAGAGAGCCAATGGCTAAGAGTTGTCTCTTGGCTTCCACATGTGTACCATGTAACGTGTTACCTACACACACACACTCACACACCACTCTAATCAATAAAATAAAACACATTTTAAAAATAGCATAGATAGAGCAAATGGTTTGTTAGTGTCTGTAATAATGAACAAAATTAAGACTCAGGGGTCAGGAATATGACTTCAATCCCTTAGGATCTATGAACCTGCTAAGGGGAGAATCTTTATCATCCTGAGAAGAAGGCAGGCCACCAGAGTACACATCAACAGGCTGAGCAGAGCCTTCACAGTACACACCTAGCAACCATGTAACCAAGCCTATGGTACAAGACAGTAATCTCAGCACTCAGGAGGCAGAAGCACAAGACTGAGAAGTTCAAGGTCACCCTCAGCTGCATAGCAAGCCTGCAGCTACCCTGAGGTTCCTGAGACCCTGTATCACAAAATATTTAAAATATTCTGATCTTAGTGAACTGGAACTGGACAGCTGGAGAATGGGATTGTTTACATTGCATATTTCTCTCTTGGTCCCCAGGAGTGATATTGTTAGATATCATTTCCCTGTATATATCTCCTAGTGTTAGTGCTGCTTTTCCAGAACATTCCATATTATCCCGTTCGCTTGAGCTGATTGTGAAGATAGAACACCTATTGGGTTTCCTCATATAAGTGGGCCATGGTAGCAGCTTTAATGGCCTCTGACTTGGAATCTGAGCCTATGTGTCTTTGACCTAAAATTCTTATACATCCTCTATAGGACACTTGTATAAAGGTGTTTTAAGTGCACAGAGAAGGATTCACTCTCTTTTTTATGTAGTCACTTATACCTTGATTATACTGTAATACATCCAGTGAATGTCTGGTAGGTTTTTTTTTTTTAAGAAAAAGGGACATTGCCTTTGTATTCTTGTGCTGACACGAAACCTCTAGTTTTAGAATTCGTTCTCAATGCTGTGTGAATTGATAATAGTTTCTGCAAAAACAAAATGAAAGGCGGAGTGAAGGACAGGCTTTTAGCAGTCTGTTCACAGATCGGACAACACAGGTTGAGCCAGCGAGAGCTCAGGAGTGAGGCTTGTGGGCCCAGCAGCTCAGTGCTCAACAGAGCTTTGATCTTCTAAACTTGGTGATTTCAGCCTCTCTGTTAGTGTTGTGTTCCCTTAGCACACAGCCAGTCAACAGTAATGAGAAATAGATGAAAGCAAGACCTCTCCTAGGACTTTTCTTTACCAGGAGAGTCTTCCATTCCCATTCCTCTGTGAGCCAGTGCCACAAAGGCTTGACAGCAGTTAAAGATCCCACCCAGGAAATACATGCACTTTACAGTGAAGGAGCCCAGTCAGCCTCTGTGTAAAGTAGCACACTAGCAAGAGTCTTGGAAGTGCTTAGACATGGCTCTGTAACTCTTCCTGCCCACTCTGTACTTTGTGCCTACTGGGCAGAATTGCTATAGCACCAGAAACAGCAAACAAATGCTGGCCTTGTGGTAGGCAAATGACAGCCAGTAGAGAAAGGGCTGACATCCCTGACAAGGGCTGGTTAAGGATGGCATGACATCGTGCCCCTTGAGCACTTACCACGGTGCACAGCCCACAGCAAGGACTGGCCAAGTGTAGCTCCCTCCCTTGGTCTCTTCGCTGTTGGGTTATATCATGGGGTATGAGAAAGAGTCCTGGGAGTTGAGTCCAGACCTGCCTAGCGTGTCCTCGTGCACCCCCGATGATGTTGAGAAGTGTATTAGAGCCTTGAGTTCCTGTCTTTCCCATGGGAATCCTAATGCCTGCCCTGCCCAGCTCAGCAAGCTGCTTTAAGGCTCTAATGGGATTAGAGGTGGGAGTGCTTCAGAAGACATACAGAGGCTAGCCTTGAAACCAGAGCCACCTCCGGAGTGATCAGCTCTGCCAAGCCGTCCCTACACACCTTGCACCCCTGGCTCACACTCTCTGGCACTTGCTCCCTCTTTTTTCTGGCCCCTGCTACACAAGAAATGACTCTCAGTTCTGGGTCACACCCAGTTCCATCAGGATCCTTCTCTCTTACCCCAACCCTTGACCTTCCTTACCAGATCCACTGCTGGCAAGGTGATCAGACCAAGGACAATTAGGGCTGAGCCTAAAGGGAATTTTACAAATGATCCCACCAAAAACAAGGCCGGATAAGGCCACCCTGCCATTCCCACAGCCTCACCCAGTATGGGCATAGACAAGCTCATAGAGAGACCCCAGAGGTGTAGACACCAGCCATCCATCTAGAAATGGCTAAAGTGGCCAACTGGTCAGCAGGAGCCCATGAGCTTCAGAGTTAACAGGGTACGCTGAGTAAGATGCGCACAGTGTACGGAATGGAGTGATACCTGTGTTCTAACAGTATGAATGGGCTGGGCACCATAGCGGGCTCTGGAGAAATGATAGGCAGTAACTCTCTGGAACTTTCCAGATGCTCCAGGGAAAGAGCTGTCTGTGAACAAGTGACTGAAATACAGTATTATAAGGGAAGTGCCCCCAAACCCTAGGAACAGGCAAGACCTTAGGATGTCAGAGAACAGAGACTCTGAAAAGGAGGAGATCCTGCCATATGCATGACCTTGAAGGACAGAAACCAGGAAACTTGGTAAGCCAGACTGACCACTAGGTCTCAGGAGGTTGAGAGAGACTAGGCTTTGCCTGTGGCCCCAGTCTAGTGCAGCCTGAGTCTAGAGGTCCCCTGCACTAACCACTAGCGGAGAACCCCCAGATGCTAAGGAAACAGGTCATTCATCAAAAATACTGTAGAGGCAGCTACATGTTCTCACAGTCTTCTTCCCAAATAGAGATGGTTCCTAAGCTAAGTGTGGACTTCATGTCATTAGATGCTGCTACTGAATTCTGTTTAATCCCGAATGATTTGGTCTTGTTGTAGGAAGGTGTGTAGCATGTTCTATGTGGGTTCCTCCTGAATTAATGTTCTGACTGTCCATTTGGCCAGATACACAGTGACTGGGAGGAGGGGACCTTGTTGAGTGTGGCCCTGGTCAAAGATAAATTCACATAATAGTCATGGAACTTTGAATTTTGGGTTTGCCAGTAAAGATAGCATACATTCACAGAGTTAGCCCCAAGAGAAAGGGGATCTGTAGAGTCTATTAAATGATAAGGTCATTGGTGAAACTCGGAGAACCAGGAAGAATGACGGAACTGAGTCTTTTACTGTCATAGTGGTCTCTGCTGGGTAGAACCCATGGGCTTGAGAAGAGGCCTTTCCTCTTATTTCCTTCCATGGAGCATAAGGCTGAGGTAAGTGTTAACCACTTAAGGAATACCAACTTTCTGTTTCAAGCCAAGTATGGTGGCACATGCCTTTGATCCCGGCACTCAGGAGGCTGAAGCAGGCAGATCTCTGAGTTCCAGGCCAATCTGGTTTATATCGTGAATACTGGTCTAGCCAGGGTGACAAAGTAAAATCTTAGCTCAAATGGGGGGAAAAGACAAAGGAAAAGATCCTCGTTTCATTCCCACACGGCAGGCAGGCTGCTCAGGCTGTGTGTGATGGGAACTGAGCTGCACAGCCAGTCCCTCTCAGCATCGCCTTTGAAGTTTCCATCCTGCTGCCCTAACCATGAGTTACTGTTGCACTGTGCCCTCACCTTTTGAGATGGACTTAAGTGCTGCTCAAGAGCTTTATCTGACATGCAGACAAAGAATCTGCCTTTGTTCCCAGCAGAGGTTAGACAGTAGATGCTCACTGTGGAGAGAGGATAGTTGGCTCCCACACTTAAGCCTCCCCGAAGAAGCTGGGGTAGTGCCCCCACCCCACCCTGGGTAGCACAGCTCCACTATGGTGGAGCAAGGTGGACAGGAAGGCCAAGGCCTTCCCACCAGAGTTGGTGGGAGAGTTCTTGCTGGAGTAGGGCTCTTAAATGATCCCTGACACTGTCTGTTTCCTGGACAGATCCTACAGGAGTTAGAGTACGGCCCCTCAGTGGACTGGTGGGCCCTGGGCGTGCTGATGTACGAGATGATGGCCGGGCAGCCCCCCTTTGAAGCTGACAATGAGGACGACTTGTTTGAATCCATCCTTCATGATGATGTGCTCTACCCTGTCTGGCTCAGCAAGGAGGCCGTCAGCATCCTGAAAGCTGTGAGTCACTGTCCCTCCCTCGCTGTGGCTCTGCTCCCTGAGGACACTCTCTCTCTCTCTCTCTCTCTCTCTCTCTCTCTCTCTCTCTCTCTCTCTGTGTGTGTGTGTGTGTGTGTGTTAGTCACTATCCTTCACCCATGGCTCTGCTCCCTGAGGGCTCTCCCCCCACCCTTTTGTGTGTGTGTGTGTGTGTGTGTGTGTGTGTGTGAGTGTGTATGTGTGTGTGTGTATGTCTCCTTTCTTCCTCTCTCTACCCGTCTCTTTGGATGACCCAGACAGCACCATGTTTTTTGACATCCTCCCTCTAGACACATATCCAGCAATGTTTGGACATACTGGAGTTGGTGTAGTTGCAGGAAGCATGGTGGGTGCAGATAGGTAAGGATGGACTAAGATGTACCAGAGTTGCTGCCAAAGAGCCTACAGCACACACGACAGCCCCACACCCAAAGAATGTCAGTAGCACTGAATACAAAAACTGTTGACACCTGGGGCTGGAGAAGTGGCTCGGTTGTTACAGAGGACCCACGTTTGATTCCTAGCACCCATGTTGGACAGTTGACATCCACTTGTGTTTCCAGCTCCAGGAAACTGCTGCTGTCCACTTAAAAACTCTCTGGGCATTGAGTTCACACCAGCACGTTCCCTCACATATGCACTTACACATAATTTAAAAGTTAAAAAATAAATGAGAGAGAGACAGAGATGGAGACAGAGAAACTGAGAAGACTGTTGATCTGCACAGACTCAGGGGTTAGAGGTCATGCTGTGGTAACTGCTTACTACTGTCTGAGAAGAGAGCCTCTGGCCCAGGGTATCGCCGCAGGGGTTCATCCCTAGGCTCATCTTCCCTCTGCTAGCAGAGGGAAGTAGGAAGGCTCATGGAGGGCAGAGGGGCCACTGCTTTTCTTTGGAAACCAACCCCCTAATTCCCTTAGCTTACAACTTAATATTTGTAGCCCATGTTTTCTAAGGCTCTGTCCTTATCACTACACCGCTGAAGGAAGTTATCCATGGTGAGGTAGTTCAGGATCTAGAGAAGGCCATTTCTGTCATAAAGCGGTGAAGAACCTATACAACAGCAAGCCTCCATCTTGCTTCTGCTGAACTCAGTGCAATTCCCTGAGAGCCAGCCATCGGCCTCCTTTGCAACCTTCACAATTTACTGAGTTCTGGGTAGAAAGCGGGAATGGAGCCTGTGCTGGGTGAACACATCTCAGGGCTCAAGGGAAGGTGACTTTTAGGCAGTGTATAATTCAGGTTGACATGAAACACCTAGGTCAAATATCAGCAGAGGAAACAATGTCGCTGGCTTCTTAGAGAATTCGAAGTAAGGCACTGCAGGGGATCACTGAACCAGAGATTAAGTAGGCAAAACTCAAACTGAGACATCTCTAAGTGCCAAACAAAAGAGTATAGACCAGTGTGGGATATCTGAGTCACTGAAGCAGGGTGACTTCCTGGACATGTAGGTGAGGGAGACAAAGACCACAAGTCATCTTCAGATCAATGCCCATGTGGTTTGGGTTTAAGGACACCAGAGGTGTTACAGGACCCCAACCCTAGCCCTAAACCTTTCCCATGTAAGAAGCTTTCTTCTGCTGGTCAGCCTTAAAATTTCACCACAGTTACCAAGTGTCTTAGTCACTAGAGATGCTGACCTTTTACCCTATAAAGCACTATACTTGGTCTCTAACACACACAAGGACAACACATACCCTCCCCCAATACATACCTCCCCCAACACACACATCACATAAACACCTTTAATTTTTGGTGCCTATCAAAATTATTTTTTAGTTTATTCTGGTGTTCAGGTTGAAGTTATGTTTATTCTCAGAACTTACTGAACCTGTCACTATCCACTTATAATGACTTCATCTCTAACTTACATGGGCATTTTTAAAATTATATTTATGTGTGCATGTGCCTGTGCACGTGTGTGCCAAGTGGCGTCTATGGAGGTCAGAGAGCAATTTTCAGGCTTTGCTCCTCTCCCTGTACCACGTGGGTCCCACTTACCCAGCTCAGGTTGTCAGGTTTACCCAGTGGGCCATCTTGCTTGCCCCTACATGGGCATTTTTTTGTGGCAATTGCAAATTCAAACTAAAACCATGAGATGGGTTAGGAAAAGAAAGAGTTGGGATGGGATATCTGATCATTTGCATACCCTTTGTATATTTACATACATTTGCATCCCCCCCCCCCCCGTTGTCTTTCCTTACTTCCTTGCTGTGACTTCCAGTCTCTGCTGAAAAGACCTGAATATCTGGGGAAATCAGAGAATAGAAGTCAGGTCCTAATCTCAACTCGGTACCTTGCTAGCTGTGCATCTTTAGCCCAGCTAACTAACCTCTCTGTGCCTTAAGTTCCTCCCTTATAAAGTAGAACTAGTAATGGCACCTCGAGGGAGATGAATCCATATCTGAACTATGTTTAGAATGCTGTCTGACACATGCTATGTCGTATGTTCAAGGGTAGAACACCCCAAGAGTTAGGCCTCTAGCGTGTAAGCACAGACATAGGAAATGACATGAAAGCTATTCCCTCATGAGTCACAGCTGGGAGGCTCCATCAGTAACTCTTCTGTGCCTTCCCCCCACAGTTCATGACCAAGAACCCGCACAAGCGCCTGGGCTGTGTGGCGGCGCAGAATGGGGAAGATGCCATCAAGCAGCATCCCTTCTTCAAGGAGATTGACTGGGCACTGCTGGAGCAGAAGAAAGTCAAGCCGCCCTTCAAGCCACGAATTGTAAGTGGGCTCCCAGCCCCCCCTCCATGAGCAGCTGCTACTTTTGTACCAATCTGTGTGGGCCACGAGCAGCCTGGGGTATGGCTGAAAGACCAAGAGTCTCCCACAGGAGGCTGAGGCCCCAGACATTGACAGTCAAAACTAGGACGCCCACAGCACCGCAGTCTTACCTCCCCGAGCTCTGTTTACTTATTTTAATCTGTCATGATGACGTCAGTTTTTCACATGACATAGAGATACATACAAGGTTTTTAATTTTTTTTCCTTTATCAAGAGATATATAGGGTCGTGCCTTGAAAGTGTCCATGTAAAGTAGAATACTAGCTCAGTGCTGTCATGGTCCTTATATGGCAGAGTGTAAGGGGAGAATCAGCGACTGTCACAGAAAGGCTGACACACAGTTGTGCAGGAAGAGGCCTGTGTCCTGGCCTCTATCACGGTCCCATCTCTGATATGTCCCTGCCCTCTGCCTGCTCCGAGGCACAGCATATGCTGTTACCCTCCACATGCAGTGCCAGGCACCAGTGAGGAGTGGAGATCAGAGGGGTATGGCACTCAGAAGCTGAACAGTGGACTACAGTCAAGCCTCAACTGGGGAACCAAAGCCTGCAGGATATCCTGCAGGCTAACCTATTGTGGAAGTGTCGAAGAGCAGGCAACATTAACCCGGGAGACACATCTTAATTCCCACTGAGGTAGTCTTTCCCACTGAGAATCTCGGCAGCTAGCTTCAGGCACCTGGGAGCTGAAGGGAAGAGTTTCTTAAGCAGGAGTTCCAGACCCACGAGGCTGGCAGATCAGAGGTCATCAACCAGTTCTGTCAGAGGACTCTTTCTCCCTCAGCCACAAGGACAGAAAAGCCACGGCGCTAAGGCCTGCCACCATTCCTACATTGCTTTCTGCTTTGCTCTGTGTGATTCTTGAGAGATATACAGCTTCAAACAAGCAGGGTTTGGGGTTCATTTCTCTCTGTAAACTTCTCTTCCACTTTAGCCCATCTCACTGCAGCTCTGTGCCCCCCACCCCACCCCTCACTCCATGGCAAGCCCATGTTATGGGTTTTGTAGCTAGGGAAGGATTGAGGTTCTGGTTTTTACAGCAGACATGGCCCGCTGCATGTGCCAGCCTGCCTGATGGTTGGGGCTGGGGCTGGGGCTGGGGCTGGGGCTGGGGCTGGGGCCACTGCTAGTCTCCAAAGACAAGAACAACTGAATGAATGCCAGACAGAATGTGTGAAGCAGGTCACTAAAGGCCTAGCAAGGATCAAGCCTATGGGCTGAACTGTAATTTCCATGTAGTTTAACTTAATTAATCCCTAGAGAAATAAGAAGCAGAACTAGAAAAGTCCAGGCCCAAGTAACAAAAACCCAAAGGAGACCGGGGCCAGTCAGATGTCATTGCCATCTACAGAATGGCTTGGGATTATGTTGAGACTCTGGGTAAATGAGCCACTTTCAGCCAGACTCATGGGGAGTCAGACCCAGAGAGGCTAGATAGGACACAGGCTCAGCCTCTCAAGAGAGAGTAGGGAGGTGAGGCCCAACGAAGTCCCCTGCAACCATGAGGAGATGCAAACACTGGTGTGGAAGAGGAAAGCTACTGTTGTAGAGAAGCTCCTAGAAGGGAGGGGCTGGCGAGCTTGAGCCACAATTCTCAAAGGATATTTAAATGAGTGGAGTCCAGGAGACTAGGCTTTCCCTGGGGTCTAATAGTTGACAGAATCTAAGAAGTGACCACGGGGCTTTCCTAGGAAGATTTGCTCTAAGCCAAGGCAGACTCTAGGATTTAAGCGGTGGTGAGAAATTCCAGTTCCTGAAACATCGTTTAAAGCCCCATCAGTCCAGTGCATCCTTGCTGGGTTTCCAATCTTTAGTCTGGGATACAGTCTCTCAGTACTCGTGCGTGGCTTCTATGCATTCTCTAACAAGGCATTCTGAGAGGAGCCATACCGTGGTCAGTGGCCATCTCACTCACAGAGTAAGAGCAGAATGACAAGCGGGCCATTCAGGAGAGTGTGAAGTGACTGTGAGCCTGGGATCTGGGACAGAGCCCAGACGCCAGGGAAAGGCTGAAAGAGTGGGGAACAAACAGGAACAGGCTACCACGTGTCCCACCCCACCAGTAAGCAGGTTCACCCTGGCTCAGGCAGGCTCACAGCCCCTTCAGGTTGTCCCTAGCCAGATGGGAAGATGTTCTTGTAGGTAAAGGTATAAGGAGTGTCCAGAAGCCGAAAGGAGGACATATTCCACTGGGTCTGGAATCAGGTCTTGGATCACATTTCCCTGAACCCCAGTGCACAAGAGACTGGACTTCCCTTATTTCAGCCTCTGGGAAACTTCCACCTGGGACTAGAAGCAGAACCCTACTGGATCCCTCTACTGGGGACCTGCATGAGCGTCTGGTGGCTTTCTTTCCCAGTCAGAGTATGTCCCAAGGAAAGGATTGGGCCACACAGGGCTTCCGACATCTAATCTCCTAAAGCTGTCTTCACTATCTCCATGGAAAGTGTCTTGTGTATGTAAGCGACCTCACTGTCCCTGAGACTACTGTGTTGGAAGTCAAGGAAATATGATTCACTGGGCTGATTTCTTTTGGCTGAAATGAGAAAAATAGTTCATTAAGTATGAAGGAAGAGGGAAGGAAGTTAGAAGACTGTGCAGGAGGTGTTTCTAGTCATACTTTGGCTGGATCCTGTAGATTGTTCAGAACTACCAGGTATAGGTTTTCAAGGCGTTTAAATACTTGATCACATTTCTATCCGTGGAATCTGCGACCTCTCTCATAAATATCAAATTTGTAAATAAAAAGAAAAGAGATGAAGGGAGAGAGGAAAAGAGAAAGTTGTTATCAGAAAGATGTCCTCGCTCTGTCCCCAAGCTAAAGCTCCTTCCTGAAATATGGAAACACCATTAGTCTGTACTGCCTGCAGCTCAAGTCTGGTAGAAGACATTGGATTAAATTAAAGTCATTCCATTTATCATCGAGGCAAACCCAAAGGCCCAGTGTAGAAAGAAACTCAGATGGGTTTTTTATAAGCCATTTTCCTCATGAAGCCAACTAGCTTAAGGATGTCTGCCTAGCCCAGGCAGTAGCAGAAAGGCAGGCCAGCTCTGTACTCCCTTAACAGATGCAGCCTTAGACAATGCAGTCCCCCCACAGGTCCCTCTGGAGAGAGCTACTGAGGCACATTGCCACATTGCCACAAAGTTGTCCTTCTACTCGTGGGTCAGAGTTTCCATTGTAAGACTGGCTCTCCTTGGCTCAAGGTATCATATAACTTGAGGACCTGCCATTTGCCTTCATACGGGAGCTCAGCAAGGCAAGGTTTTGACAGCTGAAGGGCAGCTAGTTCAACACTGGGAAGAGGCAGTGGGGACAAGGGACAACTATCAGCCAGGGACACTGTGAGATTCTTGAATCCTGTCTTACAGACTAGCGTCAAATGAAGGGATAAAGACTGTGGGAAGAAAAAAAAAAGATAAAATCTGTGAGCAAACAGCACCAGCCTCATGGTTGTTGCTAGCCACAAAGAGACACTGGCCACAAATTTAAACAGGCAAATGAAGGAGGTTCAGAAAAGCTTCTACCTACTATTACCAAACACCTTAAGAGAAGTGTGGTCAAGTTCTGGGACTTGTGAAAGAGCCTGCATTTCTTCTGTTTGGAATTAGCTCTACTTGTTTTCCAGCTATGCCCTGTTGACCAGAATGCCATTGTCCCTCAAAAATCTAGTTAGTAGCCATCACACTTTCCTTGCTGGCCAGGATAGCTGAGTCACCCAGCAGGTGACCTGCCTGTTGGATTCAGGGAAGATGCTGGTTTTTGTTGAGCCCAGGAGCAGTCAGAGCATGCAGCCTAGCATTTGAGAATAGTCACAATGTAGTGTTTTGTGTTTGTAGAACTCTTTAAGTCTCCTCAAACCCATCATACAGCCAGACCCACCTCTGCCATGCCTGGCTCACCTGGAGTCCGGGGCCTCCTCACACCCACTTCAGACAGCTTCCCACCTGGTTCCCAGCCCCTCCACAGGAAGCCTCCTGCCTCTGAAGATATCACCAGGAGATTGTCCAGATTGGAGGCTGGAATTTGGCCTCTGGTCAGTTTCTGTCACATACCTCCACCGGCTGCTGTCCTGCAGGCACTGTCTTCCTGACGTGTTTGCTAAGCTGAGATTCCAATGCCCCTGGCGCTTCCGCCTCCCCATGTAACCCCTGCTCTGATTCCCCAGATGTTAGGAGTGCAGCCGGATTTCCAGCCTTTAAGTTGTTGTCACCCCTTTGTGCTGGCCTGTATTCAGCGGCTCTACTTCAATATGGAGAGCTGCTTCTCATGTATCCTTCAGTATAGCAATTCTTTATACAGCCTCCCTCCTCGTGGTCCCTGTACATTCCTCCTGTCCCCGCTCTATGCAGCCACACACTGAACTGATTTTATGCAAATGATGTTCCTTCAACACCAAACCCAAAACTCTATGGACATAAAATCTAATTGACAACAGCTAGCAGAGCCTCTGATGTACAGACAATAGCCAAGCATGAACATTTCTTCTCATTGGAGATTTTATTCCAAGATGGCGGTGCTGTCTAATCACTAACAAGTATCTCTCATTGAGCCTTTGTGCTCCTGGTAGGCTTATCTTTCGGGGGAGGGGGGCCACAGAGGGGAAGAGATGTGTTTGGAATGGATGCCATTGCAAGTTGTTTGGCTTACTTCTGGCCCCAATTTGTTGTACCCCAAAGCATTAGACTCTGAGTTCACAGGCTCCTTGGCTTTGTCCCTGGAATGGGAGCAAGCCAGTTAGGAGGGAGAGAGCTGCCTCCCAGAGACCTAGCTGTCCTCCATGAACACCAAAGGCCATGAGGGAAATGCTGGCCGAGTAAACTTGTCTTTGTGTACGTGTTCTCTCTTTTCAAGTTTGCTTCAGTGTGAATGTCCCTCTGTAAGGTAAGGCTTCCAGAGTGGGGAGTCTCTCCAGGTAGGTGAGCCCACAGGCCTGGTGA